GGTGGTGGTGGTGGTGGTGGTGGTGGTGGTGGTGGTGGTGGTGGTGGTGGTGGTGGTGGTGGTGCGGCGCGGTGGTGGCGGGCGGATGGCGCGCGAGAAAGAGGCCCGCGCTGGGGCGAGAACGCCATCCTGAACGACGGAGGCCAAACACCGATCCGAAAATGAGGCCCACGCTGCAGCGGGAGCACGATTCGGAACGATTCGGGAGCAGAAATGAGGCCGGCGCCTCAGCGAGAGCATCATTTAAAACAAAAAACGCAAGCGAAAACCCGTTTCCCGGGAATCCTGTGTGTAAAAAGCAGTACGCGGGGGGCGTTCGGCCCGAAAATGACGCCAGCGCCTCAGCGAGAGTCGTTTCCCGGGATTTCCCGCATCCTGTGTGTTAAAAAACAGTACGCGGAGAATGCGCGGCCATCACCCGGACGCCATCAGGGGAAGAGGGAGAGTATTTTCATATTGAGTAATTGTGGAAGGGGGGAGGGGGGCGGGGAGGTGGAGGAAGTCTTGACGCTTCGCGTTCCCCTCGACAGCCCTGCCAGAACCGATTCCCGTGCGAGATGTCTCGGCCAGGGAAGTGTAGGAACAACTGGCGGCGGCGCCTCGAAGCCGCCCCGCGGAGGCTGCCGGGGAGCTCGGCGCCGCAGCGCTCGGCCCTGAAGGCGTCGGCGAAGGCGGGCGCCGCGGGCAGCGCCGCGCCGCGGAAGAGCGTGCAGCTGGCGGACAGCGGGCCTGCGGAGGCACAGAAGCGCACGCTAGGAGACCGGCGCCCCCCAGGGGACCAGGGCTCGGGGCTCAGGAGACGGGGGTCAATGCAAACAGGGGTCAGCCAGAGCACCGGATCCTGCAGGATCCTGCGAAGACCCCCTCTGGCTGACCCAGGTTAGCGAGCCGCTCGTGGCCGCGAGGCGGCCGCGCATATTGGCTGACCCGGGTTTGCGAAGACCTGCGTTGCAGTTTTTTTTTGCCTTGCGTTGCTGTTTGTTGGTTTCCTGCTGACCCGGGTCTGGATTGACCCGGGTCAGAGGATCCCCGAAGGGATCCTAAGTGGGGCTGGAGCAGATGTCCAGAGGAGTCAGGCGATCACAAGCATGGATTAAGGGGGCGTGGGTTAGCGACGGGCCCCGTTGCTATGGGAAATCGTGGATTTCCGCCGCCGAACGCGGCGGCACCGGCCGCATGTTGGGGAGGATCCATGGATCTGCCGACCGCGCGCCAAATCCATGGATCGCTAATCCATGCTTGAGCGCCCCCGAAGGAGGGCGGGCGGAGGCGAAGAGGTGTGGTCGAGCTTCGGCGGCAGGCCCTCGTCGCCGCGGCCGGGCGCCGCTCGGAAAGCTGGTGCGGCCGGGCCCCGGGCGGGTGTCCAGGGTCAGAGTTTGAGCTGCCGTGGTCTCAATTTTGCCCTGCTCCGAAGACGGGGTCGGAGGATCGCGCCGCATCGCCGATGCATCTCGGCGGTGCGGCTTTGATTCGGAGCCTGGTGTCCACCCCCACGTCGCCGACGCAACGGCAGTGCGGCGCGATCCTCCGACCCCGCCTGCTCGGGCCCCACTTCGGATGCCTCTACTGTCAATGGGGAAAAAGCACCCAGACCCTGGCAATTGGCGTTTACTAAACGGCCTGGGGCGTTTACTAAACAACCCCACCCTCTTCGATTCCCTCCTTGGGTGCGTTTACTGAACGGCTTCGCTTGTCGGGGTGCCTGTTGTCGGGGTGGATGTTCTGCCTTCTATACTGGGAGGGGGGTCGGGCAGTGCCAAGGGGGTTGCCGCCTTCAGCGCAAAGGTCGGCTCCGCGTAAGATTCAGGAGGGAAAGAAACACACAGACACAATTAATGGTCGACTCCCGCAAAAAAATTGAAAATATGGGAAATGGGGCGGACGACGAAAACCCAGCAAATATAACCAAATATGGGGAATATCTTTATTTGTGCGTATTTATTTGTGTGTCCCAAGGCCCCTTCAAAGATGCACCCTCCGTCGGAGCGACCGTTGGCGCGGGCCCACGCGGGCCCCCCTCGGCTCTGGCCTGCGCGCCTCGGCTTGTCCCACCCGTGGCGGCCCCCCTGTTGCTCCTCCTCCTCCTCCTCCTCCTCCTCCTCGTCCACCTCGTCCTCGTCCACCTCGTCCTCCTCGTCCTCCTCGTCCTCGTCCTCCTCCTAGTCCTCCTCCTCCTTCTCCTCCTCCTAGTCCTCGTCCTCGTCTGAGCCGCGCACAAGTGGTCACTCTTGACGAGGGCCACTTCTTGCGTGCAGCCATCAAGGGGTCAGGGCTGAGCAAGCCAGGACTCTGCAGGCCAGGACGTGGAACGATGCAGCGACACGGAGCGAATAGGGAATCATGTCTCAACCCGCTGCTGCAGATGTCGTAGGCGTGACGATGCCCCAGTTTATCCGAGTCCCCGCTTATGGGACCCTGACGGGGGGGGGGTACCACCTTCAGTCAAACTTTCTGCAAGGTCCACCTTGGCCTCGGGAGGGGCCCGATGTATCTCAGGTCCTTCCAGGGGCCCGCGGGTCTTCCGCTGCCGTCATCGCGCACCTGGGCGCAGCTGGGGCCCCAGAGGTGCTTCGTTCCTGATGGGGGCCTTGTGGGCAGTCCTGGGGCGCTATTGGAGGTTTCTTTGTCCGCCTTGGAACGTTGAACGCTGATAACAGCGGGAAGGCTAAAATCTGTCAAAATCCATGACAACATCGATGATTTTGGCATTTGGGGCCCTCTTGGGGGTGCTTTTGAGGCCTCTTGGGAGCTTCTTGGGGACCGTCTTGAGGCCATCTTGGGCGTCTGGGAGCGATCATGGAGCGTCTGGGCCCTCTTGGACCGTCTGGGTGGCCTCCTTTGGGTGTCCTGGCCTGTTTTGGGGCCCTCCTGGCCTCCAGAGAACACACGCCACTCACCCCAAGAGCTCCCGGAAGTTCCCATGAGCGCCCAAGAGCGCACGGGAAGCGGGGGGGATGTGCCCCTAATAATTCAGAATCCTGGCTGCAACAGCAGCAGCAGCGGCGGCGGCGGCGGCGGCAGCGGCGGCAGGAGCAGCAGCAGCAGCGGCGGCACAGCTCTGAGCCTCGGCGCACTCCACTTCGTGCCCGGGGCACGGTGGCGGATAATAGTGACGCACCTCGCGGTGAGAACATGTCGTGCCGTTCTTCTGCCGAACTCCCCGATTGGGGCCCGATAGCCCACCCTGCCCAGGAGCGTGCTGACTCACTGTCGGAGCCCTATCGCCAATCTATCGGCGATGCGTCGTTGCTTCCAGCCCGATGCTTTCCCCCCATGAGCCGGTCCCCCCCCCAGCCTGTGGGCGTCTCCCATGAGTCGATGTTTTCGACAAGGATGGTCGTCTCCCCTCAGCCCGTGGGCAGCCCCTGGAGGGGCCCTGGCGCTGCTCGGCGGCCGGGGCCCGTCTCGAGCATGTGGCAAGTTTTCTGGGGCACCCGGCTTGACTATCCGACTCCCCCCCCCCCCCTCCCCCTCCTCCCCCCCCCACCCCACCCCCCTCCCCCACCCCCACCCTCCCCCTCCCCATCCCTCCCCCCCCCCCCACCCCCCCCCCCCTTCCCTGGCCGACTCTGGCTGGCCGACTGGCCGGGTGGCCGACTCCCCGACGGGCCGACTGCGGGGTCGGAGAGTTCACTCTGGTGCCTCAGAAATCTGTCCTTCTGCGAGCGAGAGGGGCTTCCCGGTGGCGCCTCTCCTCTTGGTGCCCCCCACTGGCGGTGCCTGGGCGGGGCGACGGCAGTGCCCGCGGGGAAGGGCCCGCCTGGGGTTGCGACGACGAAGACGACGACGACGAGGACGATGAGGACGACGACGTCGACGACGATTCCGCCGCCGACTCCGCCGCCGACTCCGCTGCCGCCGTCGACGCCGACGCCGCCGCCGACGACGACGCCGATGCCGCCGACGACGACGACGACGACGCCGCCGACGACGACGACGGCAACGACGACGACGACGACGCCTTGGCGACGGCGACGACGCCGTGCCCGAGCGCACGGCGCACGCAGTGCTCTGCTCGGCCGCGCAAGCTTCGAGCTATGCCGAAGCGTCGCAGGCGCCGCTGGAGGAGCGTGCGCCAGGTCTGCGAAGCACTACTCAGGGGAGGAAAGGGTACCCCACCTCTACCCTTTCCTCGTTACCGCCTTTCTGGGCCTCCTCGGAGGCCCTCGTCGCCACAGCTGGGTTCGCCCCGAAATTCCTGTCAGAACGCACCCCAGGAGAGGTCTGGGGAGTGGCGGTGTCGGTACCCTTTCGTTTCCCCAACTACGGTGGGGGCGTTGGCTAAAGAATGTGCCCAGGAGGCTTCAGACCATGGGGTCTTCCTTATCCAATGAAGGCGTCGGTGATATCCATGGCCCCGTTCCACGAGCGAAGCTCCAATGGTTTCGAGAGCCTAGAGCCTAGATTCCTCATCCACTGGTTCCTTATCCAATGCCCTCACCGTAGTTCTGTTATGGCTCTATTCGGCACCTCAGGGGCAACGGTGCACGTGGGAACCCGTGATGTGCTTTATTTATCGTTAAGCTTCGCTGGACGCGATACACCTCGGTGTAAGCCCCCTGAGGTCCTCCTCTGCACGTCTTGTCCATCCCCCCCACTGAAACGCCAACGATCTCATCTTCCTCCTTCACCCTCTTCCCTCCTCCCAGCAGCATCCTCCACCTCCTCTCGTGAGGCCCCTCCAGTCTGCTCCTTGGCCGCCCTGGCTCTCCCCGAAGTGGAGATGCCGCGCGGGAGGCGCTCGCGACCTCCGCCCCCAGACGCGCAGCCCCCACGAGGCAAAAGCACCCCGACGCTCCAGAGGTCGTGCCCTGTGCCGGTGCAGTCTGGGCTCCCAGGCCGCCACCCTTACCCCAAGCAGTGGCGAAGCGTCCTAGCTCGCCTATATCGGAGGTGGATAGACCTCCTACCCTGACACGTCGATTAAGAAATTGGCCGTTTTCGGTTCGCGAGAGAGCATCGCGGCCGTCATGTTTGCGGGTCCAGGTCTGTCGATTTCGGTCCCAGGCCGTTTTCACTAAGGGGAGGTTTACTAAAGGGAGGTTTGTCCACCGCCGGCTATAGCCCTACCAAAGAATGTTCTAGGAACCTTTTGTGGTTTCCACGAAATGTTCTTAGAACATGCCTGGCGGATATTGTCTAACACATGGGGCTCAGGTTCTAAAAACATCGTTTCTGTTCTTAGACCATTGTTGGGGTCTAAGAACATTTCGTGGTAGGACTATAGGAATGCCGGGACGGTCGGTCCCTGCTCAACTTACCCTCACACGCCCAGCGGGCATCGAAGCTCAGAGAATTGTGCGTGCTGGCGCGGTGTTACTGCGCGCGGACATGTGATCGACGTTCTGGGAAAGAGGCCCCGGCGCGATGCTTGGCAGAATGTCACCCGCACGCGTCAGTCGGCCGCCGAGGATCTGGAATTGGCCCTATGGTGCAACCAGCCATGCTACATCTACAAGTGATGGAGGCTCAAGAGGTATTGGGCGAATCATGGTCTCGGAGCGCCACCCTCTAAATTTGCGGGACGTCCAAGCTCCAAATTCCACTACTACAGCAAAGCACCCTAATGAAGGCAAAGGTGAACATGGCGTCTGTAGCCGGCTGGAAAAAGCCTTGAGAAAGACAAGTGCAGCCGGGACAGCGGTGAGAGCACGGCCATGTGCACCCTAATGTCTTTTCTAAGGGATGGTGGCCGTCCGGACCAAAAATGTAGCTGGAATTGAGGCGAGAGCACGATTCCTGAAGAATTGCGAGGAAGCCTAAGGTAAAACGGCTGCCAGCGCCCACCCTGCGGGATTCTTCTTCGGTCGTTCTCGCATCACGATGCGAATCCTGTAGCGAATGGCAATTAAGGAACGTTCTGGTACGTCCAATGCTTAATCACATCCGAGCGCCACCCTCAGCAGCGCTCCGCTCATACAATCCCGAGGGCCCAAAACCAAGTTGGATTTGCGAGGTCAGGTTGATCATGTTTGGAGCGCACCGTATATTTGCGCTCTACGTTTGGAAGTTTGGGGCGGTGGACAGGGCAACTCACAGCGTAGGCCTAATCCTCACAGTCACGCGGCACATCGTAGGTCAGAACGACAACGACTTCGGGGACACTGCGATCGTCGGCGAGACCGACTCGTGTGATTGGCGGGGCCGTGGCGCTCACCGGCGCCACTGACCCATCTTGGTACGTGGGTCATGCCAGTATGCGATAATTGGGAAACGAAGAACGACATAAACATAAAAACTCGGAGGTCCGCGCGGATTTCTCGGATCGGCGCTCGGGCCCCCTGGCGGCGCCTCCGGTGCCGCCCCTGGCGCGCTCCGCGCGCCAGGGAGGGGGGTCCAGCGCCGATCCGAGAAGCCCGCGCGGACCTCCGAGTTTTTATGTGTATGCCACTTTTTGTTCCCCTAGACGCGGCGTTCGTCGGTGATACTTGGCCGCTCGATCTCGAGGCATAACTGAGACAGCAAGGGGGCGACCCGCCTGCTCGCGCTCCAGTGGGCGATGTAACTATCCGCGTCCACGGCCTCGCGGGCTGGGCCCCTGGGCCGCGACCCCGCGGATATACGGGGCGTCTCTTCGCGGGTGTCCCGCGCGGAGCGTTCCCGTGCGGCCGCGTGTCCACGGGATCGCGCCCCAGAGTCGTTCGCCGCCCGTGAGGCTCTGGAGGACCCCGCCGGCTGCCCCCCACATGCGCCGGCATCGGCACGGAGTCGAAGACGGGAAAAGTGCAACAACGAGAACTTCTGGAGGTCCGCGCGGATTTCTTGGATCCGAGCTGGACCCCCCTCCCTGGCGCGCGGAGCGCGCCAGGGGCGGCGCCGGAGGCGCCGCCAGAGAGGCCCAGCGCCGATCCAAGAAATCCGCCCAGAGATTCGAGAGTTTATGTTCATGCCGCTGGTTCTTCCCCTGGCCAGCGCAGGGAGGGGCACGGAGGGAGGTGCGCAGAGGCCGAGAGCTGATGTTCGTGCAGCTGTCTGCTCCTCTGTGGTCGCGTCCTGCGGAATTCCGCTGGCAGTCGCTTCAACGCTGTCCGTGGCCGAAGCTCTGTGGCTATCGTGCTCTCGGGCAGCAGGGAACCAGCGCGTCTCCGGCGCTCCAGCGCCGCCTCCGTGCTTCTGACGCCTGGCGTCCAAGGCTCGGTTCGCATGTTGTGCCGAAGCGTGGTGGGCAAACCCCCTCCTCCTCCTCCCTCCTACCCCCTCCTCCCCCTCCTCCTCCTCCTCCTCCTCCTCCTCCTCCTCCTCCTCCTCCTCCTCCTCCTCCTCCTCCCCCTCTGCCTCCTCCTCCTCCTCCTCCTCCCCTCCTCCTCCTCCTCCTCCTCCTCCTCCTCCTCCTCCTCCTCCTCCTCCCTCATCCACGGCCCTGTCTGGGGAGGTGGAGGAGGAGGAGGAGGAGGGGGAGGAGGAGGAGGAGGAGGGTGCCGAACCGGCGGCGCGATACCCTAACGAAACGTTCCCGACCGCAAGCTCGAACGCGTCGCTCGCCGTACTCCCTCTGCTCGTCCCGTCGACGCGCCACCCTGGTGAGCGGAGCCCGTGCACCGCGGGCTGCGACTGCTCTCTCCGTGGAGGGGACTCCCGACGGATCCTGGGCTTAAGTCGGGCCTGTCCCCCCCCTACAGGGGGATTTTCGATGAAAAACCAAAAATACCCCAAAAAGAATCAAAAAATAGTCCAGGGACCATTGTTTGAGTATTTTTTCCCGTTTTGGTGTATTTTTGGGGTATCCTTTATTTTTCGTCGAAAATCCCCATGCAGGGGGACACGCCCGACATAATCCTGGGCACGGGCAGAGGCCAGCCGTGCCAGGACGCCTGCCGCCGTCCGACCGCGCCCCGCGCCCGCGAGGCGAGCGCATCGTCGCCACCAAGCAGGAGCGGGCCCTGGCGAGGCGCGGGCCCCCTCTCGGGCCGGACGAAAGGGGGGGGATTGGGAGAGGGAGGGGTCCTCCTCCTCCTCTTCCTCCTCCTCCTCCTCCTCCTCCTCCTCCTCCTCCGCCTCCTCCGCCTCCTCCGCCTCCTCCGCCTCCTCCGCCTCCTCCGCCTCCTCCGCCTCCTCCGCCTCCTCCTGTACGAAATCTGCTGCATGCAGCAAGTTTCGGCCCCACCGCTCGATACATAGCCGCCTCCGGTGCCGGGAAAATCGGCTACGTGAGCTGATTCTCACCCCCCCCCCCTTTGCTATCCCCCCTCTCGCCTGGCCCGACCCTCTGGGGGAGCACGGGGCCGTCTCTCGCCGCGGCAGCTTTCCGCGCCGCGCGCCGGGCCCGGCGGCGGCCCTTGCGCGGGCGCTCGAGGTGTATGTCGGGCATGTCCCTCTACAGGAGGAATGTTCAAACATGGTCCGGGGACGATGTTTCTAGTGTTGCTTGATGATGTTTGAGCACGTGCTTGGCATTCTCGATCTTTCGTCCAAAATCCGCCTATCGGGGGACATGCCCGACCGAACTCGAGGTGCACGGAACGTCGTCAGCGGCCCAGAATGAGCCAATGAGGAACGGCCTGCGCTGTCGGAAAGTTGCGATCGTTCGTGGTTTGGCGATCCACGCGGCGGCAGCAGCCAACGCACCAATGCTGACGTCATCGCGAAGTGAACCCGCCGTAGCTTCTTGGCTGCCTCTGCCGCCCTCTGGCAATAGACATCTTCCTTCAATAATCGCCAACCGAGGTCTTCATATTTCTTGGAGGAGGGGCCTTGTTGGAGGAGTCCTTGGCGAAAGCGAGCGATGTACTTGTTCGGGAGAGGCGGGTCGTTCCAGGGCCTCTCTCAAGAAGCCCACCCACAGATGCGCGGCTTTGCTCCAACACGCACGTGGGTGGCTGGGGGCGGGCTTGCCTTTTTTTTCCGAAGCTGGCGGCCGAAGACCGAGGCCTGCGTCGAGGCTTCCCCTCGGTATGCGCGCTGTTTCGGGTCTGCCCGCTTTTTGATGTGTGGGCCGCTCGCGCGGATGACAGACTCGCGGGTGGTGGCCCGTGCGAGGTGGGACGAGCAGCAGGCCGAGTGGGAGCGCTTCCGGGAGGCGGCCTCGCAGAAGACCCAGCGGTCCAAGAACGAGCTCGTAATCGCCAAGACGGAAGAGTACCGCGAGCGCCTCGAGGTGCCCCGCTCTGGACACGCGGGCATCGAGGTTCGAGGATCGATGTGTGTTGCGTGTTGCTCGTCCTGCGTAAGTTTCCGCGCGGCTCGTCGTCGCCACGGCTGGATAAGCCTCGCGGTCCTGGTCAGAGCACACCCTGGAACAGGTCCAGGGGCCGATCTTGAGGCGTGGAGCCGTCGTCGTCCTTCGCCCTCGTCGTCGCCTTCCTGAATATCAGACCGCTGCTACGCGTCACGCTTACACAGTTGGTGGCCATTGTAGGGCGCTCCTGTAAACTGCAGCCAGGCCTGGGCGAGAACTTCAAGGCAACGTCGTTGGTGCCCAAATCGGCTTGATGAGACCTGGACCGCGGCCAGAAAGGCAATCGAGTCGGGTGCAGTGGCGGAGTTGTCTCATCTCGGATGGCGCGCTCCCCCATCACTGCTTCTTTGGGGGTCTGCTCTCACGTTTCGAATCCGGGCGCCCGGTGCAGATCCGCCACCGTGCTAGCGAAGGACCTTGTGTGCCGATTCTTCGGGCACCGCCCAGAAGGCCGACACATGCGCCACATCTCGCCTCCACATCCTGAGGAGCTATCGTGGGGCGTCTGTGGGCCCCCTTTGGGGTTCTCTTGGACCGCCTTGGGGCCCGATTGGGCCTGTGCCGGGCTGACTAGGGGCCCGTTTGGTGTTCTCAGTGTGCCCATTTCGGCCCTCGAAGACCGCAAGTGGACCGATCTTCGGCCACAAAGTGTGCAAAGCGAGAAGTACTGAAACATCGGTTGAAGGAGTACCACTGTAATTGGCCTCTCGAAACTCTCCTGGCGAGCGTCGTGGGGTTGCCTTGGCGCCTCGTGGTGCCTGTTGGTCGCTTCTTAGGGGCGTGACGTGCCTCGTGAAGTAGTGGTGGGCCATCTTGGCGACCCTGGTGGCCTTCTTGGCCGTCTGGAAGCCCAAGGAAAGCGTCTGGCCGCCGAGGGAGCCTCGGGAGAGAGGGGGGCGATGCATGCCACAGCGCGTGACAGGAGGGGGGGCCTTCGAGCAGATCGCAGGAACCCTACCAGGCAGCACTTGGCATTCTGCCGCGGGCTACGGTGGCGGATTCAGCAGATCTTGGCTAGCAGCAACGCTTACGTAATGACTGAACAACACCCGTCTCTCGTCGTCGTCGTCGTCGTCGTCGTCGTCGTCGTCGTCGTCGTCGTCGTCGTCGTCGTCGTCGTCGTGAGACACCCCGCGGAGGACCTATACCTGGCCGTTGCCGCCCTCCTCCCTTTGCCCCGCCGCGGCAGCCCTCCTCTGCCCCCCCGCCCGCTCGTGCACACTTCGCCCTGCAGCGTCCCCGCGTCGGCTTCGACCACACTGTGCGCTGCGACCGACAAGTTTTGCTCACGAGGAGGAGGAGGAGGAGGAGGAGGAGGAGGAGGAGGAGAAGGAGGAGAAGGAGGAGAAGGAGGAGGAGGAGGGCGACGACGACGACGAGAGAGGGGGGGACCGCGAGGTCTCCCCTCCTCCCTCCCTCCCTCCTCCCTCCCTCCTTCCCTCCTTCCTTCCTCCTCCAAGCTCCAGCGGCTCGAGAGTCAGCTGGCGCAGGTGCTCAAGGCTGTGCAGGCAGGAACCACGACAGTGGCGCCGGGTGCAGCACCCAAGTCCAAGTCCTCAGGCACAGGAGGCAAGCCGCCATGGCATGCGGCGGGGCCTGCAGGTGGCACAGATACACAGTCTGAGGACAAGGTGGACCCCAGTGCCAAGCGTGACGCCATCATGCAAGAGATCTACGAGTTGGAAGATGTGCTCAAGAGACTCAGGTGCAGCGATGGCAATGACAGTATCAAGTCCCCGATTGAGGAGCGGCTCAAGGTTCTGCGCAGCCAGCACAAGCAGCTACGTTCCCCGACTACTGCACACAGACGGGCAGCGCAAGACCTCAGTTGGGCACGCACCGCGTTGCAGAAAATGCAAGATGAGCTCAGTGAGAAGCATAAGCAGTTGGAAGGAATACGTGAGTCGATTGCAAAGAGACAGGATGAGATTGCGGCGAAGCAAAAGGAAGTGGAAGCGCTGGAGGTCGAGTTTGCTGAGACGGCTAAGCATGTCACGACCTCGACCGATGATGCGAAGAAGACGCCTGATTTGTCGCAGCTCTTCGATTTCGGATCAGAGCCAGATGAGGTTCCCAAAGAACTCATCCCCTTCCTCGAGAGCCCAGAATGGAAGTTGCTCCAGAATCTACTCACGCAGAGGGCCTCTAAGTTGCCAACAAAGATGGATATTGATGCTGATGGTGATGATATTAAGTCTTCTGAGAATGCAGCTACAGATGAGCCAGGTGATGACGGGCAAGCTGCAGGCGAGAAGCGTATGTACGAGGATCTCACCGAGCCCGAGCACGAGATATTGTTCTCACTGGCAGGAGACAAAGAGCAGTTTCGACAAAAGCTCGCTGAGTTCTCCGTCAAGCGCGCAAAGGTCAGTTCCAGTTCCTAACGATTGCTGCTTGAGGAGATGGCTATGGAGTCTGTCGGGCAGGAGTTCGACTTCGGCGTCCAGCAGTGCTACGGCATCCCCGTCTTCCACGTTGCGGCCTGCCCCTGAGAAAGCTGAGACTCTAGGCTGGACGGCACCCCCAACGCAGCTGCAGGTCAAGGCTTGCAGTGGGCGAGGAGAGGGAACCCAGCCTAGGGAATCGCTGGAGGGAAGGCCCACCTGTTCGTCTTCTGCTACGAGGGCCACAAGCTCTACGGCATTGGCATCCTCGAGAACGATGAAATCGGAGTGCAAAGTCAATGGTGATGCGGATCCGCAAGCGCGCGATCCCAAGTTTGATATTCCCCGAGTGAGTGGTTTCAAGTTATCGCATCATGGGACAGCTCCTGCAGCAGCTGCAGAACACGACGACACGTACCATGAGTTCGAATCGTTCAACGCCAATGGCGGCAAACGAACAGTGAAGAAGAGGCTCGAGAAGAGTTCGGCGAAAGTGATTTTGATGCAAGAGATTGGACATCTCGAAGCGGATCTTGAAGCTCTTGACTCCTGGTGTGCTACACGAGGCTGGTCAATGCGAGCTCTTTCGTCGAAGACTACGGCTGGTCACAACACTGGAGCTGGTGTTGCAGTATTTGTGCGGACAGGAGTCGGGCTGCGACCACCTGCAGCTGGAGTCGAGTGTCTTTTTCCAGGCCGACTACAACGAGTCGAGGTCGATCTACCAGGCTGGCCCTCCATCACGGTGTTCAACATCTACCTCCACCCGCAGGTAGGCCCCAGTGGGCCTAATGCCAACATCCTAGCTGAACTAGGCAGTATGATGCAAACGATATCAGGACCTGCGCTCTGTGCAGGCGACTGGAACCTGACCCCTGAAGCGTTGGAGGCGTCTGAGTTCCCCGTCCTGGCGGATTTGTGTGTGCCGGCGCCTGCGGTGCCTACGTGTCGAGGAGGGACAGGTTCCAGCATCATTGATTTTTACTGTTTGAATGATACGTTAATGAGGGGATTTAAGAAGCTAACAGTTGATATGCGCTGGACGGTTAAGCCACATCGGCCTATCCGTCTTGCCATCTCTGACAACGGGTATAAGCTCAAGCATCTCGTGTATTCAGTCACCCCAGCGCTGCCCAAAGAGTTCCCGATAGGCCCTGCCCCTCAACCACCCACTTGGTTCGTCGAGCAGCGTTTAGCCGAGAAAGCCTGTGAGGCCGCTTCGGATCCCGCGGTTGCTCCGAGTGAGGCCTGGGCCATGCTTTCGAATGCTTGGGGTCGTTTCGCCACCACAGCGGCCAGGTACCTTGGGGAGAGGGCAGGGCAGCCTTTAAAGAATCCAGGGGCCTTTGGGCGATGTTTAAAAGCGCGTTGGGTCGAAGTTTGCTGCACGGCCAAGACCTCCAGTGATCTGCAAGCTGTCGCCGACGGCTGGAAGTGGCTCCAAAATGCTGTTGGTCAGGTCCTTGTGTTTTCCCGCGTGGCCGACACGGCCCAAAATCAGATGATGCTTGCACAAGAGGTCTCAAGCTTTTTAGTCGACGAGTTCCCAGGCCTGGGATTGAGTGCTCGACTAGAGAGGTCCGTTCAGGTTGCGAGAGGTTTAGTCAATGCTGAAGAGATAGACCCAGAAGCGCTGCAAAGTTTTTTAGATGACATAGACTCAGACGTAGAGCTTGCCGCTAAAGGAGAAAGCAAAGAGCAGAGAGACTCGCGGCACGACTGGTGCGTGGCAGCACGAGCTGCAGGGTCGCGAGGCTTTCATAAGATCACTGCTGTCCGCCAGGTCCGAGCGGCTACGATAGTGCAAGGACCGAATGGGCCTTCCGCGGACACCATCAGTATTGTGCAAAACGAGGTTTCGCTGTATAAGAAACTCTGGGGTGCGACGTCGGAGGCTCCTCGGGCGTGGATCCCTGATCGGTCGTCTTGTGAACGAGTTTCTGTTGCAGCGATCCGCGAGGTAGGACGCACTTTTTCGCGCAGCACCTCCAGCAGTCTCGACCACTTTCACCCGCGTTTCGTTTTGGCCCTGGATGATTCAGGACTCGAGGTTTTAAGTGCTTTGTGGCAGGCCTGCGAGGCCATCGGGCTGCTCCCTCGTCAGCTTTTATGGGTTGTTCAACCTATGCTCCCGAAACCCAAGGGGGGAAACCGTCTCATCGTGCTGTATGCTGGAATGTACCGAGTCTGGCAAAGACTAAGGCGCCCACTGCTGACTGCAGTTAGTCGTCTGGTCGATCGTCGTTACTGGGGGGCGTCGAAGGGACGGTCAGCAGTGGATTGCGCTTGGCTCCAGGCAGCGCGCTGCGAGAGCGATGCCGAGCAGAATAAACACAGCGTTTTAATTGTGGCTGATTTTTCCAAGTATTACGAGACGATTCCCCTAGAAGCTCTCAGGGACAAGTTTTTGAGGTTCAATGTGCCACTTAGTTTCCTGAAACTGGTTTATAACGTCTGGAAGGGACCACGACTCCTGAGGCTAGGTCAGCACCATGCCCAGAGCGTGCTCTTCGCAGAAGGAGGGCTGCCCGCGGG